TATTCCAAGTCCTCCTCTCGGAATTCTGAAAGGCTGATATACCTTCCCGGTCAATTACCGGTGAAGCTTGAAGATTCAGCAGAAGCTGAACAAATATTTTGCTCGTTAGCCGGTACCCTGGTCATGGGGATGAAAGGAGATTCATTTATTCCAAGGGGATAAATCGATACCCGGAGTCATGTAGCCATCAGAGAATGTCGAGTCAGGGAACCAAGGGCGGTCGATTATCGATCTTGAATATAACCAGAATTTCCAGGATGGGAGGAGTTTATATATCTCCGCAAACAAATCAATACCTTGGTGCCGTATCGAGACGTTGATTTAATTTTAACATCGGTCCACGAGATATTTGTTGCTAATAAATAGGTGCCAGAGATCGGTTCAGGTTATCCCGGGGATTGATGGGAGAGTTAAGGATCCTCCGTAAGGGCCACTTTGCAAGGAACGGGCAAGGGAATGTCGCCTTTACCGCGAAGGTGTCCGGCAAACAGCCCGTACACTTAGTGTTTGGGCAAGGTGTTGCACGTCGGTTTATCCTGCAAATGGAGTGCAAACTGTCTCCAAGTTGCAATACATTGTGCATACGATCTTGCAAGCGACGAGCCCGTTTCCAAAACTGCAGTTACTCGTTCCTCCCGCCGCAAACAATTTCATATAAACGGAATTGAAGAAAGCTCCTTTCTCCGCCTTTTACTTCCGCCGAGTGCTCTGCGTGCATTTCATGCCGTACTTGTGTTAATAATTGCAGACCCGAGATGCACCTCGGTCTCGTATTCGATTTACTCCGAGCAATAACGCATCCGCGAGAAGAATATTGCGACCGCCGCCATATTTAATACCCGCGACCAGAGTAGCATCTAAATCAAAGAAAACGTCGAAATAATTTTCCCAGCGACCACGGAAAAATTTCTCGTCTTGGGGATTTCATTTATAATTAATTTCATTCACGGATCGTTAGTCCGAACTTCGTAAGATAGAAAATAAAGAAATGACAGCCGGTTCGGGATTTTTGCAGGAACGGCAAAATCGAAAGCTCCTTTCCCATGTCAGTCGACTTTTCCCCGATCGCTGCGTTTCTCGGATGCTTTTTCCCCGGATAATCGATACGCCCCGAATGGAGTATTTGCTCGGAGTTTCTCTTCTGGCGGAAAAAGGAGCGGCGGAAACGTAAGAGGGGATTCCGGAAAGGACTCCTCTTCTCCTGCACTTTCTCGACGTCGATCCAGCCGAGAGCTCCGCAGCATCCCTTCCATTAATTGTCAGCTTTGTGCGCGCCCTCTGGTGGTTACGAAACGGTTGTCGCGCAGAGACTGGGAGCCTCCATTAAGAGAGGGTTAACCTCCCCTAACAGCCCTGACCGAAACAACCCGCTAATTTCTTATTGCCAGGACACCTATCCACCTTACTCCGTGCTTAGAAAAATCCAAACTCCTCTGTCTGACATGACTACTCTATCACTACTTCCCAGGGAAAGTGATGACGAACTGCAACCCTTTCCAATATAAAAACATGCCGAATTGAGTATCCCATGAATTCAAACGAAGGGCTAAATTCCGCCCCGTAAAAAGTGAGCATGGCGGCGTTAGGACATGTTATACCCAACGAGGGAAACCCCTCATCTCGCGCGAAAGCATCTTTTTCCCGGTGCACTCCTTGAGGTGCATTCAAACGGAAGCGGAGCAGACGGTGCATTCAGAAGGAAGCGAGGCCGTCCAATCGGACGCGTGAAATTACAGCTGCAGAAGCCGTTGTGTCTTCCGATTGGCTTGTGCCACGGCGAGTGCATCCGAATTCTGCATCAGCATTCATGAACGCAAGGTGGTTAGAGGGGCCGTTGCATATTGCCGCGCGGCTGTTATCACCCGACTTAGGGGAAGGATCCGTGCGGGAAGAATATTCATGTCGAGATAGAACCAATTATGCCATCCCGCCGGAATTAATATCTTGCACTCCGGGACAAAGGCTTTTAATGTGTAAGAAATTTTCCGATCATTAATTATATTTAATCTTATTCGCGTTTTTACTTTTGATAGAAATGAAACCAGGGCGGCCGGTGCAGCGGTTGCAGCAATCGCAGCAATACCCGACTACTTCTCGGTACTGCGCGATATTTGGCCAGTCGCGAGCAAACGCGTCAAATAAACAATGTGCGTGGTTACGGACTGTAATTAATAGCAAATGTTTCATTCCCACATTTGCGTAGGACGGTATGCTGCTCCGAGTAATTACATTCCGAAGGCAGCTGCACCGAACGTGCGCGATTTTCGCGCTTCGACGAAAATCGGGAAAGTGAGATTTTCAGATTTCTCTTTCATTTGAAAATGTATAATATTTTCAGGAACGCCGCCAAGAAGCGATAGAAATCCTAATAAAGAGTTAATCGGAATGTAACGTTGCGTTACGTGGCGAGATATTGAAAATAGCGAAATTTTCGGAAATTAGGACCGGTGCGAGAAATCCAAAAATTGCTTATGATTCTTTGTCCGTAAATCGAATTGCGAATTGAGGTTATCGCGGGTCTCTCTTCTCGCTAATGGGTCGGGGCGATAAGCCGAGCAGAGGGCGGCGCAACATTTTGGGTGGAGGCGCAGGATAGGATTGGCTCTTAAATATGAAAAGCCCATCGTTACACCCGGTTTCGTAGGTACTTTCCGACAGAAGGGCGGGTGGCAACCCTGGTAGGACGAAACGCTCGCTAACGGGCATCTTCAAGTGCTCCTCGGAAGTGGTGCGTTCTATTATGAGCGGGGACACCCTCGCTAACAAGGCTCACCCTCGGGCGCCATCTACGGTCGCGCTGCGCCGTCACCTGAGGATCTCTCACCGCTCCACCTCTTCCTCATTCTCTAGACTCCCCCGTTTGCGCCCAGGGAGCCGGATAGGGACAAATTGCCAAATAAGTCCGCGGGACACCATTGTGAACGAGAATACACTTTTTGGACGAGAGAATTCTTCCGGGGAAGGAATCCGAAGGGACTCCACGAGAAAAGCGTGATAAGGCGATGCGAAAGCGGAGTTCGAGGGATCAATTGTTCGTGACATTTTCCTCCGACCCGGGTGTACCGAATTGTTTTACTCGAATGGGCGATTTTACTCTGCTTTCGGTTTGATAGAAAAAGGAAGGATCTTAAGCGAGCGTGAGAATTGGAATCGATTCGCAGCCGATCGAATCGAATTAGATTTAAATTATCTCGGCAGGCCAACCGCGAATTGCAGTATCGAGCACTTTACTCGATCGGCCCATTCCCCCGTAAACGTCTCAATCTCGTTCGATTCGATTCGGATACAATCAGGACTCCATTCTCGATTCACTCGAGGACGGCATCTGGCGCTGTTGCATCTGCGGTTGCATCTGCATCCTCGCGAAATAACGTCAATTCGCGTCTTCCCCATGGACATCGCAATTACAATTCCCCCGCTTTTGAAATATCGTTTAAACTCAAATTGCAACTAATTCGAGGTATCTCCGTCGCGATTAGGACGTCCTTTAATTACCCTTTTTTTTTTTTAAGGAAATTCAAGGAGTCCAACTAACTCGTCGGCACGTCCTGGTCAGTCCATCGGAGTCGGAGGTTCAAGGATTAAGGAGGTTCGTCCCTCGGCGACCTTTGAGGGAACAAAGTAAATGGCCAAAGTGCTCGGAGGGCGCGAGCACTCTAATTAGCGCAGGTCGACGGTTGCAACCCCCTGGTTTTAATTAACGGGTCCAAAGCAACCGGAAGTAGAGGAAGAGGATGTTGCGGTTTTGTTCAAGCCGGTCCTTCAGGGCGCTCGGAGGGGCATATGAGCAACCCCGAGGCTCGATCGATTACCTCTCCATTAAAGTCGATCTTCGATCCCTTTACACCCCCGCGTCCTCTTTCCGAGACAAAGCGAGTGGAAATGAAACCCCGGCAAAAAACGAAATTCAATCGGGCCCAACAATTCGTAGAAAAATAAGGATTTTAATTTCGTCAAAAGGAAGAAGCGAAGTTTAATAAACTGGAAAGAGTATTCCCTCTATTTCGGAATGTTTCTTTTTTTTCTCTCTGGAAGAATTCTCAGCGTCCAAAATCCAGGAGGAAAGTCCACGGGGAAAGCTTCGGGAGAGCTTGAAGCTTTTACCGAGTCGTTTTCGGGCAGACGTGGGCGTGTCTTGATTCGATATATGCCAGGTTTAGGGGAAAGTCGGGTCGGGTCGCCTCCCGGCCATGGAATATGAAACTAAATTCGGCAATGGGGATTCAAAAGTGGCCCCGTGGGCTCGAGGAGAACAAGGCGCGGTTTTCCTTCGCATACGTCTGTCCCTCCGAATTTCAGCCCTTCGGTTGCACCCCCTCGCCAACATACATTTCCTCAATAGTTCCCGCCATATATTGCCAATTATTTCCCCCGTTAAATAAATCCGCCCAGTTTCGGAATTCTTCATCGATCGAAAGGTAAAAGCAACCCTCCTCGAAAATTCACGAAAAAATGGAAAATTAATTTCAGAGAGGAAATAAATATTCCCACGTAAAACTCACAGACTCGATTGTATTGTATAGATCCTAGGGAATGGCAATATATTTTTTTTTATATAAAAAAAATATAAAATCATAACGGCGCGAAGGGTGAAAGCGAACTCGGTAATGGCGGCTTCCGGCTCGCCCTTTCCGGTTCTCCGACGGTATTCATTTACGTGGCTGCGGTTGGCCAGACGTCAATACAGAGGCCGAGAGGCCGACGCAACAAACTGGAGGGCGAATCAAGGCATTTCACACAGGGCAGAATGGAGATCGGTAAAATTTACGCCTCGTCCCACCCGTCAAACCGCAGTTTCGCGCCCCGCCATTTTATTGCCGGGATGCAATAAACTAACAATAAGTATCGGAACGGTTCCCCGTGGGTCTAGACATTTCCCAGCCATTTATCGTGGGATATAAATCCGATATTACGGCGGCCGCGTCTGAATTCACATTCGCGTGAATCCAAGATGGCGCCTGCGGCGGGAGATTGAAAAGCAAAATCGCGCGAGTACTCACTTGGGTGAAGAAGTAGTAGTACACCCTCATCCCGCGATCGGCGAATAGCTGGGCGAAGTGGATGGACGGACAGATGAAGAAATAATCTCCGACGACGTCCGCCACCATCTTCTGGTAGAGGAAGCCGTCGTTCACGTTCTCCCAATCGGTGTACTGGAAGTTGAATTACATTGATTAGCAAAAACTGGCATTTTCTCTAGAGGGAAGTTTAAAGAGAAATTAACGATGTAGGGAAATCAAATGTCCGATGGAGAGATGGTCGAAGTAAAGAGGCTCTTTAGCGAACAACTACGAGAGCAACTTCGCGAACAAGCAGCTTCGGTCTCACGCCAAGTGCAACGACTTCAATCGACCACTTGGCTCCTCGTTAAGCGTTTTCCCTCGGGAAACAATCACCGCCATTACTCTAAAACGTTTAGATCAGACAAGACCACGGACCTCAACCAACCAAGTCTCCTTACGTCAACGATCAATGTAATGGACATTTAATTTCCTTGAAACGTTTCTTTAAAGTATTTCCTGGTTTGTCATGAGGTAAAATACGAGAGATGCAAAAGACCTTTACGAGGAACAATTACTTAGAGTAATGTCGGCGTGACAGTTTGAAATCCCATGCAACGTAGGGAGTCTTGGGGGTTATCTGGGGTGCATTATTTTAAATTATCGTGTTTTAAGGCGTTTCACTCGCGGTTCCATAATTTATCTACCGCGATTCGCATCGGGGAAGGAAAAGATTCCCGAGGGTCGAGCTTAACCCCTGCGTGACGCGACAAGTGCAACTCCGCGATTTCAATCGAGCACTTGATCACTCGTTAATCACGCGGCATGTCGCGTTAATAATTCCTCGCTAAATGCCGGATCTTGAAGCCAACTTAATCTACATTACATCTCGAACGCTTTCCTCGTGGCTGAGGAACATTTACACCATTAACAAAGATGACAGACCCGGCATAAACAAAATGGCGCCGTCTGGCGTTCGCTTTCGCGGAGAGTTAAGGGAGAAATTCCGCCGGCGTTTTAAGTAAGAAGTTACGTCCCTTTCGCAGTGATTTTATTAAAATATAACGCGTCGCGTAAACCTTACTTAGCTCCTTCAAACTTTTACGATGCACTCTTGGAGGGAAGTCTCGAAAAGTTCCTTCATACTAACGCGAGTAGAAAGTCAAGCGGTGAGGATTTTGCGAATTCCGGAAACCGAGGGTGCAACGATAAGTTCTCATCATACCCAAAGAGCTGAGCCGATAACAAATGTAAACTGGAATTCCCGATTAATCGTACTTTGGAAAAAAAAAATAATGCATAAAACAATGGATCTTAATGCCTGAATATGTCTATTACGCGAAAAGGATCTTCTCAATGGAACAATTATCCCAAATCCACATTTGGATGCGGACTTTACAATGTACCTTTAGGGGGGAATTCAAGTAACCGCGTAATTCCAAGGAAACAATATTATTTTGTATTTGCGTTTACGCTCGAGAGGCGCGAAACGAGGCGAGGAATTATTCCCGAGGGAGGTGTTACGCGAGTGAAACGTTAATTACGACAAGGAGAGACATTGTCTTCCGCGGATCTTTTGAGGATCCGAGGAGACGAATGAGACGCGAACTTTACGGGGGGAAGGGAAGAATGACCCGAATTTGAATGCAAGCTCCCTGAAAGATGAACACAAAAGGCCCAGCGAGTGCAGAATTGCGGCATTGTGCCCCAGAAGGGGGGAAAATAAGTTTTGGAAAAATATTTCGCAACTTCACTGTCTACAAATCGAACCGCAAAGATATGAAGCTTTTCTCCAAACAGTTTGAACCGAGCCACGCGAGTGCATCCCGAAATTATACATCGCGCATTTCTTCCTTATCGAGGAGCAATCGTCCTCGGAGATAGTAGCGAATCCTCCTTCGGACCGATGTAACTCCACTCGGGAGAAAAAGGACTCTCCCAAAGGGAGGGATATTCCGAGTCGATCCCCTCGAATGCTCATTTTTCAGGACGCCGCGAAAGATAGAGGAAGAAGGAGACGAGAACAAGGAAGCCCGTCGGCGTTAGGTCAGTTTAGGTTATCGTTATTTTATCGGCGCGGCCGCGCGGTAACGAACAAGCAACATGGCGAATGGCGAAATGGCGAGGTGTAACGTTACGGTGGTCGTATAACGTGACCCGATAACGTTACAACCGGCGCTTCAGGAGGAATTGCGTGAATACCGGGACATTATTCGCCACCATCAAGGAACGCTGATGCCGAGGTTAAAATAGTACCTTGATATGATTAAGACCGAGGAAACGGACATCAAAGCATGGAGTATGGTAATCGTGTCGCGGTAACGATGGGCATTTGCACGCGCAATCAGGGCTGTTTTTCAGATTAGGGATCAGACCCATTATGACGATTTCTTGCAAGTTCCCTTAGGAGGTTGGATGAGATCTTTCTGGACATTCTGGATCGATCTAGGAGCATGGTTGATGGGGATATCTAGGTGCACTATACATGGACCAATCTAGGAGCATCACCGATAAGCTTGTACCGGATGCAAGTAGCATCCATCCAAAGCTGGTTACTTTGGGCTGGCCATCCGAGCTCGAACTCGGTCCTGGCATTTCCGTATGTCCGGTTCGATTAGTCGTAAAACACTCAGGCAGAAAGTTATCGTGAGCAGGGCGATCGTAAAGTCCTTGCAGCGCCAGGAAGGCCGGCAATTCGTTGTGGTTTTACGCCCGACGTAAGATTACGTCGAGGGATTGCCAGAGGATCTCCTTCGGGAGCATCCCGAGGGTCCCGGAAAAATTCAGGACTGCCGATAACTTCCGGGACAAATCCTTGAGTAATCAGCTGGACGTGTCCTTCCGATTACCGCAGGCATGTTCGAAGGACCGTGATCGGCAGTCCTGGGTCATCCCTTTCACGAGGAGTTCATAAATCTCTACCTCCAATTTCGAGATTAATTCAGATAACTCTCCTGGAGCAATTGGTTAACAATGGTTTGTCTTCCTAACACCCACGAAGAGTTAAATTATTTTTTAATTTTCTTCATAGGTACTTTCAACATTTTTTTTATAAAAAAAAATTCTTAAAAAATGAAACGCAAGGTGCAAAAGTCATTTCCGTGGCTCTGCGATGGCAGGCTAGGGTTTAAGGGGAAACGTTAACAATTTCGAGGCGTTAATTTAACTTTTCAGGAGAGCCGCTCCATTAAGGGTCGCGGCTGCGCAAACACGATAAGGCGAGTGCATACATCACCAGGGTACAGGACAGTTTGTCGGTGGATATAATTCAGAAATTTCAATGTAATCTTCGGCCCATGAATCTACGGAATGATCTCATATAACGCGGTTTCGGATAATCGCCCGCCGAGCGTCCGAGGCCGTCGAAGAAGCTGGGAAAATAATTCGACTTTTACGAGGGCCTCGAGGTCAGCCTACGAGCCCGAGGGCTTAAATAACTCACTTAAATAATTATTCCCCGGCATAATAATGCCGAGCATGTTGCAGCCCCGCGATTCATCACCCGCCGGGTCCTTTTTCTCCTTAATGCTTCGCCTCCGCCATTTTTCCCGGCCGACGTCCCTTAAAGAGAGGGACCCGAGTTCCCCTCAAATCCCCTGGGAGAGATTATTTCCTCCCCAGATGTGGATTTGTTTAAACTTACAACGGCGAAACATTGAAAAATTTCTCCGACATTGATTTCTGATACGATGATTATCTTGCAAGGGAGAATGCGCGATGCAGTTACGAGAGGTCGAGATGGAAGGTGTATCACGTGCGGCAAGTTTAAGGGATATAAGATGGTTTTATGGAAATAAGCTTCGATCGCGAAAGCACCCCCCTAAGGCCGCCCTCTCGAGGGAAACAGCGAATCCTTTTATCCCGAAGGACGGAGGATCCAGATTTCCCCGTTCCTTCGACTCGCCTTCGACAGATCTCGAAACTCGAGTTTAATTATCGGGGCTCGAAAAACGTAAAAGAATCCTTCGTTAAGGTTTCATTAAAACTTGGAATTTAAGGGGGTGGAGTATTCCCGGAGATTATGCCCTAAGAGACTCGGGTAACGCTGTATAAAAGCGAATAAGACGCCACCTCCAAGACCCTCTACACCATCGATAATATTAATTGCTCAAGACGGGTGAAAGAAATTTTTCGCCGATAGAAATTTTATTTCACCTTTTCATTTTTCCTTACTGAAAAACTGGACATTTATCTTCATTGAGACGAGTCTCATTTAAAAGTATCTTTCGACGGGTATTTTCCAAAGATTTTCCCGGATCCCATTCCTGGGATCCATTTCGCTTTCTAGTGCACAAAGTGCATACGTGCACTTGGCGTTCGACATCCATCATCCTGTCGCTTCCGATTTACCGGAATCAGTCGTACTCCCCGAATAACATCCACGTAAGGAGAATCGAAGAAACAAATGTCGCGTATGCAAGCCTAGCAATTGGAATAAATTTTTCTAAACGATGGCAAAGCCAAGACACAACAAACCGAACTCGACCAGCGATGAAATGCCCCTTGCCCTGCAATTTGCAAAAGTTGCGTCGTTACCGGCGAAACTCGGCCCGTTAACAATGCCAAATTGTCCGATAATCGTTAAAACCTGCAGAAACAGCTTGGCCGGAGTACACGCGAATGTCCAGCCTGGAACAACCCTGGGCTTTCAGGGTGGGCTTTATGTTGGCCAAATTGTTTTCATAGAAGCTGACGGCTGCCGCGAAATTGGTTGTCGAGAAGAAATTCACTGCGTCTCCTTTGCATGAGGAAATTACGATCCTTAGCGTTCCGATGATCAATTTGCATCGGTACTCGTCGTTGGCAGAACCGAACAACACCAACTCGTGAAACCTTCTCGCGTTGCATCTCCCAAGTTCTTTTTCTGCCTCGCCTTAAAATTCGAGCCGCAATTCGCGAGGCTGTCAGCCAAAAGCTGGCAGTAAAACTTGAGAAGTGGTGGAGCGACAAAACGTCTTCATTTCACTATGGCCGCGTCAAAAGTAAATATCCTTGGGGCCACCCTCCTCTTGTTCACCCCCAATCCCCGACGGCGTTTCAGCGCGCCTCCATTAGCGGGGGTCTTTCTTTTTAATTATGCAGATGCATCTCAATGTTGCATCCCTGGTTCCCTCCGGAGAGAGAGAGACCGAGCAAACCCGGCCGTGCGCGATGAATGCACGCTGCACGGCTTTTCTTAGCAAGAGTGTTTAACGAACGTATTTTCCTAGCCACTCTGCAGGAATAGTCGCGCCTCCGCTTTCTCGGCTTCCTATCTCGCTCGATCGGACATTTCGAACCATCAATTATACATCGTCTATCGTCAGGGAACTAACGAAACGCGACGTAAATCCGTGGCAAGAGGAGCGAACGTAAATCGCGTCATTCGCTTTCAAAGTTCTCATCCATTCGCCGCCATGGAGTCCAGAAAAGGACTCCCGAATTCGACACTCCGCCGTCCGAGAGAGGAGAAACAGAATTACCGCTGATGAAGGGAACGCTCAAACGAGGTGAGCTAAAACGGGAAAGTGGCCCTTTGCTTCGACTTCCACGTTTCTTCCACGCCGGCCGGCTATTTTGCGATCAAAGAAGCCTCGAAGCAAAAAGGAAACCCATTTGGGCAGAGATTCCGCCGATGGGAAATGCATTCGGTCCCTGAGGCCCGTAAAGTGGCCAACCAGGCGGCACGAAAGCCTAAAAAACTCGGCCCTGGACTCCTTTCAGGATACCGAGTCAGCAAAGGGATGATCAAGTTCCAGTCCGACTGGAGGAGTCACCAAAAGAGTCGGATTCGACAAGAAGCCGCAACACGAAATGTGGACTCCAGCACGAGGTAAATTCAGGGATCCAAACTCTACTCCAGGGATTTGGACCCCAGGGTCCAGTTTCACTTCCGCAGGAAGTTCCAAACTCCTCGATCCCAAACTACCGAGCACTCATGAAAATGCCCCAACAATTAGGCTCGAGGAGACCCACTCTATTCCCAACCATGACCGATGCAAAATCCTGGGGGCTCACTTCGTCAACCGATCGGCACCAATCCTTTCCACGGGATCCTCCGAAAGAAAGTCTCCTTGGTACTTCCGGTCAGCTGTAATTGGGATTTATAATTCGGGGAGACTTGCAAGTTGGGCAGTAGCGAGCTTTTTAGGAACCTTCGGAAACCAGCCTTTGATCGCGACCGATTCGCCGACTTAGTTTCCACCCGTTAATCACGAATGCACCTCCCAACCTTGATGGAGATTAAAGTGCGACTGTGGATTTGGAAGTTTGGCAATTAGTAATTACCTACCGAATCGGAGGATCTTCTGGGTAGCGGAAAAGAGGGTGTCGACTTTGATGTAACTCATTAATACTTTTAAACTTGGTTAGGAAGTTCTGTCATTGGAAGGGGCCTCATTAAAAGTACAAATCGCGTCAATCAAATCTGTCAAATCGCGTCGGACGAAATGCCGGAAGCTGTGGATATTTTTAAAGGAACCCAATAAACTGCAAAATTCATCCCCCAAAATTCATGGATTACAAAACCAATCCGTGAAGTTCATTCAAAGAAATGATTTTCTTTTTTTTTCTCCCTCAGTGCCCCTTCTCGCTCCGACATCCTCCACGTCCGTGCAAACTTGAAATTGGAAGCGGTAACAGTTTGTCGAAAAGTTCAAAGTGAAATTTGGCAAATGAAGCTCTCCGCGAGGACATTTCAAATTGCGAAAGTTGGGGGGCGAGTATAAGAATGTTCGAAAAGTTTACAGACTCCGAGTTTTCGGATTGAAAGTTCCTCGTGGGAGTTCCTAATGAAGCGATCAACAATATATATTCAGAGTCGGAGCGGCGACAAAGGAAGAAATTAAATAAACCATTTCTTGGACCCCTGGAAGTGTAACAATTTCTTGATAAGACTCACTTGGAACATGATGGCCTCTCTCTCGATTTGCGTCATGTTTTTGAAAATGGTGTTGATGATTCCAAGGAACTTGTCCCTCTGCAGGGAACTCGCGTGGTCCTTCTCGAAGAGGTCGATAAAATCGTACAGAATGAAGTAGGTCCCTGGAAGCATAGGAAAATACAATTAATCATTGCCTAAATATTAATGGTGAACGCTTACCAAGCATGTTCAATTAAATCTATCCGACTTGTAAAATAAAACGCGAGTTTACGAAGATCCCCGTTCAAAGAATGGAGTCCCTCGATACGAGCTCGATGTGATTCTTTGATCCCGTCCCATAAAATGCCTTATCATTTTGATAAGGTCACCGAGAAACTTTCGCGGTAAAGAGATATATGCAACCGCTCGGAATAAGGGCACGAGTCCAATTTACCGTAAGGATCATATTCCCATAACCGTTCGGCTGGGAATATAGTCCTTAGACGAAGTGGACTCGGATACCTCGACATGTAGAGAAGGGTATTCGAGTAAATTTCTTGAATAAGGGCCCATTTAAGTTAGAGCCCTATTTCTCGTTTCGAGGAATTATCCAGCCGAGAAGTTACCCGATTCGTGGATTCCTTAAGGCGATATGAAATTTGCGACTACCTTGTCGATCGCTTATGAAACTTTTCACCGAACTAGGTGTATCGAATCGTCTGAAATTCTCCCACTTGCGAACGGCGTTAACATTCCGAGCAGAGGTCGTGTTTGCGATATTCCATTTTGAAAACGTCCATTTTTAACGCGGACATGCGCCGCCATAATCATCCCACGTCTGCATTCCCGATCATCTGCATTTTTCATCTGGCACACGTCCTTGCAACTTCTTCGCCCGAGCACGTCAAACTTTACGAACGCTCTGCCGGAGTTGGTTCCTCCATTTTTCATAAAGTTTCGGGGAATGACGCGGAACGAATATTCTCGGGGAATTTCTCGGCTTTGCCACTCCGAGGCGCAAAATTCCTGAAATGGCGACAATTCCGCGAGATTCCTCCTCATTGTCGTCCGATTTCATTCCTACCCACTTTGATTATTTACGACACCCAGGTTCGCCAGATATTCCCCGGAATCTCTTGATATTATCTGCCGACGTGGGATAATGAATAATGAGAAAAAAATATATATATTGCTTAGGGGCTTTCATTTATTGCATTTGCATATGCAGGTTCACTTTGATCCCACGTCAGCGGGTGGTTGGATGCAATTAAGATACCGCGGCTAAACAAAGCGTCTTATATACATGTATAGCCGCTAATCAGAGCAAAGCCAAGCTCGAGGCAACACGCCATTGTTGTTGTTAACGCAAGAATGGCCAGGGAACAGTTGGAGATTGTGCCCCTCCCGTTGGTGACAAATTCTCAAGTAAATCCGCAAAGTGACCGTCGCCAAAATCTATTCTATACAAAAAATTATTTCCCTAAATCAATAACATTTTTCTTCATTGCTCGTTACATGGACGAGGCGTCCGATTCTACGAGCCAGGAAATCCCGAGGGTCGTCGCCGAAAAACCTCCTCCCATACTCGATTTGGATCAGACCGCAATCAGACAATCCGGCAATTATTTCCGAAATCAATTCCACTTTCCGCCGCGCCGCGACAATACTTCCCCCGAGCCTCGCAGCGAGATATATCGAGATCTGACCCGACGACTTCCTGGCTTCCGGTTCCCCGTAATTGGGAAATGATTCCGCCGATCGACCGAATCGGGAGTAATGGTCCGTCGGTGCCCTCCTGGAACGATTCTCTGATAACCCGAAATCCGACGTCCGGGGCTCGCCAACTTTTTCCACTTTTTCTTCCCCAAGTTTCCCGGATACCTGATAACCAACTTTCCAAGTCATTGCGGGGAACTTACTCGAGAGAACTCATCAATCGCGCAAAATTCCTTCGTGACTTACAATACCATCGAAGATAAAATTCCCACACCTGTATGAATATAATAAGCAAGGTTCTACTGAATTTAACCGATGGCTAAAACTGAGCGTACTTACATTTATCATTTTTCTGGGCAAATTAAGGGAAGTACGTAAGAAAAGAGGAGTCATTTGGTTCGTATTTGCTAAATCAGAGCCTATGTCGTCCCTGTAGGAAAAGTGGCTTGGGTTGTGGTTGATGGCAGGGAAAAAAGAAACATACGTTGCACGTCGAGGTAACAACGTGTCGGTCGACCGGAAAGTCGATACCAGTTGCGAGGTTCCGTTCTGAATGTTTCATTAGGTATGAGTACGTGGCGTCGTAAGAGCCCCGGAGACTAGGAACAACTTTTCAGGTAAGTCCATGTTCACCGAGAGAAATATCTCGCACAATTCAGAAAAACGCCGAATTTTAAAAAGGAAGGAAGAATCAGGAGTCACGAAGCAGAAACGTTCCCACCCTGGTGTACCTACTCCCGCAATAAAGGCATTTAAAAGGAAAGAACAAGTGTAAAGGTTTTGTTTCCACTTAATTGGTATAATTCCTGAACATTAAACGTTCAGAGTTTCATCTCATACCGAGGGAAGAAAATTAGTGGGATTAAATTAGTAGACGGTATTTACGTTGTGTCGTAGACCATTAGGGTATTAAGGCCGGTGGTTAATATCCTCATGGTTACTAAAATAACCAGAATTATGTTTGCGTTTAACCCCAGACCGTGAGAGCATTAACGTCGGGTAATCCACGTGTTCATCTTTCCTGAAAGGGCCGAAGCCATGTTTGCGTTGTAACCTAGGCCCATCAAAGGGAAAACGTTTTATGAATATACACGTTCCGAACCGCCACCCACTACGAGGGAGGGATTAAAACGTTTTCCGCAACGTTTCCTTCAATGAAGACGACTCACGTCCCCTGGAAGAAGACGAGAGCGAGGGAGAAAAAAGCTCCCCCAACGAGCGACGCGAAAAAATGGACTCGACCACTTCGGCTTAATAATACTCCGGAACAGCAGACAGCTTTTACATCTCGGGACGATTCGCTTTGAAGGAACTTCCCAAATAAAGAAGCACGTTTCTTTCGATCGGGTACCCTTCAAAGGGAGACAAGAGGAGAAATCTCTCAATGAGTCGTCACCCTGCGGAAGAAATGGACTCGTCCACCAAGGAGCAAAAAGCTCGATATGTCTCACTTGCAAACTCTCGTTTCAAGTGCGAGGTTGTGGATTGTATTAATTCGATACCGAATTGGATAAATCCAAAATTTGAGTGCGCCTCCACCATCCGATGTATCGATGTTAAGTAGAACCGGATGGTGGAAACGCGATCCAGTGTCGAATAAGTACCCACGGTGCAGACTTAACGAGTACCTCGAGTTCTTATCTTAAATAGAGGGAAGACGTCAGGGGGAGTGAAAAAGTCCTAGGGGTAAAAAAGTGGTTTTTTACAGTCAATCGACCCGTACGAAGGGAAACGGACTACGTCGCTCCGAGACGCCCGACTTCTCCCGGAAAGTCGTTGTCGGGTAATCGGGTTAACGCGACGACCTGACGGAAGCGCATCGTTCGAACGTCACGTCAAGGTTGATACACCCGGTGATCCCAAAGGCCACGACTTCAGGGTCGGTAGATGGGGCGAAAGAACCCCCGGAACCGTCCCCTAGCTCGTTAGGTCCTGCGACGTCCCCGCTCTATTTCTGGAACACCAAAACCAACCTGACCCTGACTTTGGACGAGACCCAACCCCCTAGTCTATTCGAAACCAAGACGCGAGAAATGTCTTGATTACTCGGTTAATTCGCACAATTGGAAAGCCCCTCCACCGGCATTTCCCGACTTTTCGCCATCAGCTGAACGAACGCAATCCAACGGTGGAACGGTTTAATTTACTTCTATATAAACTCGCAGTTTACAAGTACTCGAGTTGCACATCTGAGGTGCACTTCCATGGCAAAAATTGTAACCGAATGAAATGTATCTGCTCTATGAATAAATAACGAAAAGGGAAGACTAGGTAGTAACAAAACTCTCAATTTACACATACCCGAGTTACATTTCTTGGCGGCACGAGGTGGGCTCGCATAACCACAAAACTTGCCAACTTTCCATAAGATCATAATTTCAGTTTGCAGCGCCGCGTTGCAGGGCCCCATAACCTTAGAACTTTCCAAGGTTTCCATTATTTTCATCATTTTCATGGGATTTCTTCGTCTTTTTACCGAACCGCGGGTAAATCACTAGATGAAATTTCCCAGAAGTAATACAAGTTCGCAACTTCCCTAGCCGCTTGTTTATTTCTCGCCTCTATTGCACGTTGAAAAACTTCATGGCCCCCATGGAAAATTGCGTGAAAAATATGTCCCGGTCCGAATAATTCCATTTCGTCGCAATGGTGGCCATTGATTTTATCGTATTATCGCAGGGGGTGGTAATTAATTTTTCACCCGTCCGAAAATGTGAGATACTCGCAACTAGTCGCAGAAATCGTGACAATAATTGCAGCTTTTACCCCCTCGCCGGACAGGTGGGAGGAATTCCAATTTGTCGTCGGCATGTGGCACAGTGGCAACATTAATCTCAATTTGACTCCATGAAGGAAAGGAGGGTTCGAAAGACCTGGCCAAGGGTACTAATTGGACGTGTCAAGTGGAAGGGTTGGCGGTAAAGTGCCGTGATGAAGTACTGGAAAATTTCAATGTCAAGTCTCAACCCCTTCGCGCCCTGTCCCCCAGTTCGTTAAAAAAAAGGACCTTTGAAAATGATCCTTTTAGCCCTAAATATTCCGCAGACATTAAAAAAAAATGTCCCAAAGAAGTGAGTGCTTCTCGAAGGGTAAGACGTGGGACTTTTTTTTTTCCATATGGTTTATGTTGAATATCTCCGGTTTATTCAAACAGTCCTGGTCTCGTGATTAAGTTCCTTATCTAATTGCACCCACTTTCAGGAATGATGGAACTGCACCAACTGTTCCCTTCTCACTATTCGCTCGAGTAATGCGTTTTCGACGTCCGGCATTAATCATTGCCGGAGAAGCATTAGTCAGCATTCGTAATGAGATGTCTCAATGAGTCCAGAAAACGTGGCACTCCATCACTTTGGACTCATTTGACTCCTTATTCTAGATCTAGCGCATTCACAAGGGAAACGACCGCCGGTAATTACATTCTTAAAATGCATCTCACCCCGACAGAAAAATACAATAATTACCC